TAACTGTCTGCGCACCACTCCCTTTTCAATATCGCTGGAAAACATCAGATCCATGGCGCGAAAGAACTTCATCGTGTCCTTTAAGACGTCACTATTCGCTGCCATCAGGGGTCTAACCCAGTCTCTCGCCCCTTTTCAAGATGCTCAATCACGAAAGCCACTCGTGATTCCTCGTCAGGGAATTCATCAAACTGCAGATTGAGGGCATATTGCATTTCTGTCCGAAAACCATGATAGTTTTGGGCTCCCTCAAACTTCTGCACCAATCCTGGTACCTTTCTGGCGAACTGGGTGGCTTTCCCCTTTGTCTGCATCCTGAGCCCTCCTCTCCTCAAGCCTCGCCGTCTGCATCGCTAGCTGGACCTCCAACATCTGGTACCTTTCTTCCAGGCTTGGACCCGCTCCAGCTCCTGCTTCTCCGGTTCCGGCTGGGTTGCTCATGATGCCTTCTCCTGCACAAGCTGCTTTCAAAGACTGTCGGAATGCTGTGATGGGATGATGAGCTGCTTGTGCGTAAAATCGTATCCCCTCAGAGTTTGTTCAAGTCCACAAACCTCTGTCTGTGACGGAGCCCCCAGACATGGCTGCTCTAGTCACTAGCAGATTCCGACAGTGGTTGCTTTCGTAATCGCTTCCAACATAAAAGCTCCTTAACGGAAACACGTCTTCTGGAATCTCTGCGTGACAGTTTCCGGCGAGGAGTGGGTGTTCTTACAGGAGGTTCTGAAACCTCCCCACTGTTTTCGCTGGAAGTGTCTCTGAGCCATCCCTCCAGCTCAGCTCCTCTCCCCCTGCTGGTTCCCTCTTCCGCTGCTGCGTCTCTCCCAACCTGTGTGAGCCCTTTCACCTCCCTGTTGGGTCCCTCTTCAGCTGCTGCGTCTCTCCCAACCTGTGTGAGCCCTTTCACCTCCCTGTTGGTTCCCTCTTCAGCTGCTGCGTCTCTCCCAACCTGTGTGAGCCCTTTCACCTCCCTTCCGTCCGATGGCAGTTCCCTGACAGCAAATTATGTATTTAGCGCATTTCAGGATCTCCTGATATAAACAGAGTGGCTGTGATTCAGAGCTGAAATACATACAACAGTATTTGATGCATGTACAGTCTATGAATTGCTTTTTCAAATGAAAATAAGAGTATTTTTGCTAGACATATGTGAAGCCCACTGAGGAATTCCATCTTTCAGTCCTGTTTCCTGACCTCAAGCAGCAGATTTACACAGACAATCCAGTTGGAAATATGGCAGGCTGCTGTGGCATATTGGCATATTGAACATTATCAGTTCCTCACATCAAGGCCCCGGATTATTATTATTATCCCCCACAGTGCATAAAAGATTTTGTAGTTTTAGGGCTACATAAAATGTTGTCTTCATGCCTGCCTGTTTTGATTCTGAGGCATGACAGTCTAGTTTAAAGTATTTTGGCCCAAAAAGGTTGAAAATACCATGAGAAGGCAACCAGTCAGCACGAATAAGAATGGAGATAGCATGCAAACACCCATTCAAAAAAGCCTGACTGCAAACATTGCTTCCGTTCTATCATCTGAACCTCATAATTAAATCTAGAAAAAAAAGGAAGATTCCCATCAGCCAGCATTCTAAATAAAAAACAAAAAATGAAGTGACAGAAAGAGTAATTGCTTCCCCATTTCCTAACTGTATGCAGAACATTAAATGCAAAATGCTTGCCCTTTGGTAGTTTGTTTGTTTGTTTTGCAATTAGGGATGGGCAAATCCGTCAATTTCAGTTTCTCATTTTTCTGATCTTAAGTACAGTTTTCTATATTTTCAGATCAGTTTGCAATACTAATGCTAGAAATCCTCACCCAAAATTATCAACATTTCAGTAAAGATTTCTCCTAATATACCCATATTTGTATGTAATTTTGCCTGCTGCAGAAAATTTTGCATACCAATTTCCCATGATATAATACATTTTGCTATGTTATTTTTCACTAATATATGCACTGATGTGCACACTTTACCCTAGCAGAGGCATATTTTTTTGCACATTACTTGGCAGAAGAACTGCATCATGCGAAATTTAAAACAATGCAAATTTCAAAGGATGGGTGCATTTTGGTTCGAATATTGTTCTGGGAACAGCATATTAGGTAGGTTTGCTTTTAAATGCTAACTGAATTGAATATCTCCTCCATCCTATTTGCAATGAAAATTTTGAATAATACTATCTCCCAAAACCATATTCAGGTCCCATCCACCAGCAGCGCTCCTCTATCGAGATTCCTCTTCCTCCAGTCCTGACACCACAACCTACCCCCATTTTGGCAGGTTCTTGTAGCATATTCAACATTATCAGTTCCTCATATCAAAAAGAGGCTTTTTGTGGGATTCAGGGGGATGCTGGTGAGGGGAGGAAAAGCAAAGTCTGCTTCCAGTGCCCTACTTTGGCACATTTCTCTTTTTGATCCAAACCAGTGAATTAATAGTATAAAGCAGAGATAGGGAACCTCTGGCCTTGAATATATTTCCCCCCCCCCTTCGGTTGAGGATTTGTGCAAAACAATTCTGGAGCCCTTGCTTTCATTATGCTGCATTGGTATGTTTGGATTTTAATGATCTTAGGGTTTAATTTTGAAAACTGTTGCCTCTCATAGTGGAAAGCTGAGATATAAATGACAGGAGAAGATAAAGAAAATATGCACTCAAGAGAAAGTTTCACTGCCTTCAGTAAGTATACGGAGAACTGTAGACTTAAGGTTTTTTCTTCTTGTTGTCTGTTTCTGCAATTTATCAGTTGAAGTGATAGGGCTTGAGTCTCTGCTAACATTTATGTAAATCAATGCAAATCAATAATTCCACTCAAGCTAAATAACTGAGTTTAAGGCAGTGATTTACAAGACTTCAACAATGGTCTAGTTCCACCCAAGAACCAATTTAAACAATCTGTGAAGCTCTCCCTAAGGCCACCACTGTTGCTCTCAAGATTCTCATTCCAAGGATGCCCTGGAATACAGGAAGCCATGTGTAGCATCTAGCCAACCACTGTTTGTGTTAATGAAATTAAAATAAATTAGATGGATCTTCCTCTTCAGCCAAGGAAAGGGACAGAGAATATTCTCAGGGCACTCTTGTTATCGAAATGGGAGAATGTATTAATAGATTTCTTCGTGTTTGACATAATACAGAATTTGTCCAACTCCTTATTTTAAAAACTACTGATTGAAAACAAGATCAAGCTTCAAGATGTACAATACTTTCACATTACACGAGTCTCCTAATTGTCTTACCAAGAAGTGCAATATATGCAGGTTTATATAATACATTTTTAATATAAATATATATATAAACATATTTAAATAATTTTCTGGAGCTGGCTGCCAACACTCAGCCTTAAAGAACAGAAGCCATTTCTTAAGGACACCAACAGAGTTTGTCAGTAGCTGGTGATTCTCTAGTCCCTTTAACTGTGCAGAAGGAGAAAATTAATCCCCCATAAGACTCCGTCATTAAAAGGGAAGAAATTCTGTGCCAAGGAGATAATGCATCTGCTAATGCAACAAAAGTTGTCACTTTGTGACAAAATACATCCTTAGCTTACCATTAAGTATTTAGGACAGCATTAAGCCAAGGTATGGCAGCCCAGCAGGTAGTGAGACAGCTGCTTCATGAATCGCAAGAATAGGACTCAGCAGTGCCCCACCATTCCACAGAATAAGATTGGCATGTCAGTCAATGACACCAGCAGCTCTTCAATTGCCCTCCTTGGCAGTGATTCTTTCTGATGCTCAGAGACTTTTGTGTTGCTGTGCCAAGATAGAATGTGGAAGGACACAAATTGTTCAGGAAGACCAGGTTTTGCCTGATCTCCTCCACCCTCCCAAATGCAGCCAAGTGAGCATGGTCTTTAGATTTGTACCATGTCAACAATCCACTCCACTTTTATTTATGTATTTTTACCATTCAGAGAAAACATTGCATTTGGAAATTATCAAAGAGGAGATAAAAAAAATCTCAGTGAAATTCTCATGGATGGAGTGCTGGGTTTTTGCCATGCTTATTTTACCTTTGAGCTGGCTGGAGGATGTTTATGAGAGACAGAGTCCTTTCTTTCTACAGATCATCTCACCATTGCAGACTTCCATCACTGCACGCTTCAGTCAAAACCCAAGGGAAGATATTGCAAGGTAACTCTTCCAATGGTGGTTTTTCAAATGAGAAAGCATAGGCAGCCAGGGAGGATACAGTGAGCATGAGAAATGTTCACTTGGAATATAAAAAACCCACACACCACAACCACTGGCCACCTTGCAACAATAGGATAAGCGCCACCATTAGATTTTGCCATTTAGTGAGGAATCTGTAATTATAAGGGGAAGGGATTGAAAAAGAGAAAGTAATATTTGAAGGCTTATCGTTTTTACTGCAGATATCTGGCCCAGCCTGGATAGGGTAATGTTTGTTTGTTTGTTTGTTTGTTTGTTTGTTTCCCAACTGCATAATTTAGCTTTAAGTTCAATAATTAGAGTCGGACACGACTAAACAACTAAACAACAGCAAAAAATGTAATATTTCAAATTTAGACATTTTTTTAGGGATTATAATTCCACATTATTGAAAATGTGACGTGCCTTATTGTGCCTGAGTACATGATTATACAGAAAAATAAACTACATTTCTCTGTGTGGACCAGGGCACAGGCTGCAGTTATTTAATGGCATCAGCAGTTATCAGAATGCTTGTGGGCATATGAACTCTTATTGTGTTAAGCACTGAAACATACGCCTAAGTAAGTGTTTAAAGGAACTTTCCAGAAATGAGTAACTGATGAGTAATGCTCAGTTACAGCTACCTGATTCTTGTGAAACACGTTCATGGACTTTGCTAGAGCTTTCATTTCAGTGGTGCCTTGACTATGTCTCATTTAAACTGTACAGTATTGTTACAACTTTGGCTGTTTTGATTGCTGTGGGCCCCACTTTGCTCACATGATTTTCATTGCCTATAGAAACTGAGTTCGCAAATAAGGATAGAGAATAGATATGGAGAAAGGCTGTAGCTCAGTGGCATAGCATCTGCTTCACATGCAGAACGTCCCAGGTTCAGTTCCCCGCCTCCCCATATAGAGCTGAAAATGGTCTCTGTCCTAGACCCTAGAGAGCCACCAGTCTCACACCAGCTCTTTGTGCACTGAGCAGAAGTTCTGAAGTGGAAACCTACTAGCATTCGGCTAACATGTGTCGGCTCCCCCATGCAATCAGAAACCCCAGTATCATAGGTGAAATATACTCGGAGTCCTGCAGTGATTCCATACTCTTTATTGCAGCTTGTAAAACAGTGATTGAATTGCCCCCCAAACCTCAGGCTTTTATATGCATTATTTACACAATGAGTCCCATCTGATTGGCTGATTCTGCTTCCCTCCTGGAGCCTGATTGGTCTTTTCCTGCAGGCCAATCAGTTATTGCATTCTATGATTCTACCAGCCTAATAGGCTGATTAACTTCCTCCTGGAGCCTGATCGGTCTTCTCCTGCAAGCCAATCAGTTGTTGCATTCTAGGATCCTACCTGCCTATTGTTCTAGGATCCAAGCTTAGTACATAACAATAGGGCTCCCCAAAACAAAGAGGAGCTTATTCAGTTTAGCCAAACACACATACCCAGTAATTTATCTAATGTGCAAAAATCTGAAAGTAGAGCCATTCAGGATGTTGGGGGCTGAGCTCCCTTTTACTGAGGGGTGACTTCTTAATGAATTTCAGATTTTCATCATGAATTTCAGATTTTCAGATTTCCTTTTGCTCTCCTTGTATTATTTAGGATCTGTCACTGTCAATTGCAGAAAGTGACACTAGATCCACCACTGGCTTTCTCTGTTTCAAATATTCCTCCATGATACATACTTCGCCAGACCATCGTTATTGCTAATCTTAGAAGACGTGTATAAGACTGACTGGGTGCCTAGCTAACACAAGTGTCTGAGCAGGAATTCTGAAGATGCCTTATCTGCTCTCCGCTGTGCAAAAGATCATCAATTTATTGGCTCACTTTGCCCTGTTTTGTACTGACAGACAGCTCTGTGTTCATCTGCTTGGCAGCAGTTCCCATGACAACTGCCTTGCTTCTTCTCTGTGGGTGACTGTTTTGGATTTTGATCCGAGGCAGTAACAGCTGGCAGTCATCCTGCAGGCTAAATTAAATAAAGACTTCATTGATTTTACTGCCCTCATAAACTCTCTTTCTCCCTTGCTCCTGTCACACATATATACCCTTCTGGCACATCGGTAAGAAATATCCTGTAAACCATGTCTATTCTAATAAGCACCCCAGCAAGACACTAAGATTCAGCTACATGCAATGGATGGACAGCCATGGCCAAAGTGTCTCTGTAGTTCAGTTGACAAAAGAACTCTTGTATGGGAAATTTCATCCAAACCTAACATCTGATTTCAAATACTTTAATTTCACAATGACTGTTAACTCCTGTTTTTCTTCTACTGCCATTCAAATTTGTTCCAAATGGCATTACAAAAGGGAAGATTTTATTTTTATTTTATTTATTTTTGCAGTGCTCTGGAGCCAAATTTATTATGGACAAAGTTGGACTATTTGGCAAAGCATTGCAAAATA